AATTTAATGTGCACTATTTCTGGCAGTCTGCTTAGGCCCTAAGTTTTCGCAGACCTCCCAGAGGGCTTTCTCTGCTACCGCCCCTAGACTTTGGAATGACCTGCCGGATGAGATCCGTCTCATTACTACGCTTGCTGCTTTTAAAAAAGCGGTAAAGACGGATCTCTTCTGGCAGGCCTTCCCGGAATAACGTTTATCTCAGAGGGATGAGCTTTAATGAGTTTTTATTCTGTCCCTACTTCTCGCTGATCTTAATATGAGTGGTTTATTGTTGTTGTTATTGTTTTTATTATTGTTGCTTTTAATTCCTCTCAAGTTTAATTCGATTTTATGGGGGAGGGTTGGATTATGGATTGAGGGAATGTTTTAACTTTATTTGTTTTAACATGTTGTAACCTGCCCCGATTGCCATGCAGAGGGGCGGGCTATAAATAAAATTTATTATTATTATTATTATTATTATTATTATTATTATTATGTTATGTGCCTTCAAGTCATTTCTGACTTATGGCTACCCAAAGGTGAACCTACCATGGCGTTTTCTTGGCCAGATTTGTTGAGAGGGGGTTTGCCATTCCATCCCCCGAGGCTGAGAGAGCGTGACTCACCCAAGGTCACCCTGTGGGTTTCCATGTCCAAACTGGGATTTAAACCATGGTCTCCAGAGTTGTAGCCCAACACTCAAACCACTGTGCCATGCTGAACCCTGAAGCCAAGGGTATTGGCCATGTAGCAAAGTACAATAACATCCCAAATCCACAAAATAGGGATACCTTTATGGGGCTGACCCAAATGGATGAAATACATGTCACAAGCTTTGCAAGCTCCAATGGCTTCTTCATTAGGCAAAGGTGTTTAAAAAAAAAAACATACAGGAGGGGAAAAATATTATGACAATGTTAGTAGCTGTTCCCAGTTCATGCAGGCAGGGCCTTCCTCCTCCTGGCAATGTGGGTACTCCAGGACATAAAATGTTAAGTCCCATTAGCAAGATAAAAAGAGTATTGTTAAGGCTGGCTTTAGATTTGCCCCCCCTTTCCCCCCTCCTCTTTTAAAAATATTGGGGCTCATCTCACTGAGCTAGGTCCTCTGCTTGAGCAAAGCCCAAGAAGGCTGCAGAGCAGGCTAAATCTGAAGTTTTCTTTGCAAGGTGGTTCTCTTCTCCATGAGGTGGTGAATCCACTCTGAAGTTTAATTTTGAACTGTAAATCCAAGCTGTTGGAGATATTTTGGGGAAGGGATTCAGCACTGTAGATAGCTCCAGTTTCAGACTAAAAGATGAAACAGATTCAGGGTGGTGTAGTGGTTTGAGTGTTGGACTATGGAGTTTATCACATGGGAGGAAAGCATACTCCTCCCATGAATGAAGTGCATTTTAACGCATCAATATTCTGCAAGAGCAGGATGGTTTTCAGAAGATGTCCCCCGATGTCGTCATTATCCCACAATTAACCTGTGAATAAAGTGGCAAAATTGCACAACTTTTTACTCAGAGGAAAATCCCAAATCTCTTGTGGAGATATTGACAGGTTTAAATGCACTTTATTCACAGGATTGCCTCCCATGTGATAAAGACCATACTCTAAGGACGTTTTCACACGGGGCTCTGGTGGAGGCAATCCTACCTCCTGCCGGCCCCATTCCGGAATGGCTCCAGCGGCGGCAGGCTAATTCCTTTTAAAAGTCGGAATTACCTTTCCGCCACTGAAGCCGGAGTTGGAGGTGCTGAGGCCAGAAGGATGCTGGACTTAAGGCTCCGTGCGTTTGAACACACGGAGCTAGAAGCTGGACGTACGCAGGGATGGCACGGGAAGGGGCGGGGTTTTCTGCGGTGTGCGTCTGAACAAGCTGGAAGAAGAGCCGGAGTAGGGCCGGAGGGAGGCCGGCTAGCATCCTCAAAAAGCCGCGTGTGAAAACGTCCTCTAGTATTCGATTCCTTCCTTGGATTCAATTCCCTCCTTGGCCATGAAACCCACTGATGACCTTGGGCAAGTCACATGCTCTCAACCTCATGGGAATACAATGGCAAACCTCTGAACAAATCTTGCAAAAAAACCCCCATGAGAGACTTGCCTTAGGATTGCCAGAAGTTGGAAATGACTTGAAGTCACACAACAACAACAGATTAACACTCTACTGACACAGAGCAGCCACTGAGGTTTGAAGAGGAAAACAACAAATGTTGAAGCAGAGTATGATATTGTGTACACAATGTCTCATTCATACAAGGACAACTCCCATGCACAATGCTACTGCCTCTTCAAGACACACAGATTTGCCAGCATGCCAATACTGCATGCAAAAGCAAAGGCAATCCCTTTTACACATTGAATTGGCTTCCATTTGCTGTAAAAAGGTGTTCCAAGAGATAGGAGAGAAAACATGTTGGGCAAACAAAACTCAAATGATGTAAGAACAAAAGAAACAGCTAAAAACATTTTCTTGGGAAAACGATGAACAAGGAACATTAGGAGAATGACGCTAATGATTTATTACATGTATATCTCACTCTTTCCATGAAGAACTTGGAGGAACTTATCCCAATTCTCTCTTCTTTCTTACCACTGCAAGCCTGGGAGGGAGTGTGGGCTGAGAGACAGTGAATGGCTGGCTCAAAGTCACCCAGGAGAATTGTGACCATCAATGGGTGTTTGAAAACAGGGGCCTATTCACACTACAGAATCATAAAGCTATAATTCTGTTCTATGGACCTTATCACACGGGGTCCAAAGCAGACAGAATCCAAAAGAAATCCTGACCTAATACGTAATAATTCTCCGTGTTTCCACATGACGTCACACAGAATCCCGACAGAACCCCAAATGAACCCGAAACGAATTGAGATCTTTTGCATTTCGGTTTCTTTAGGAAGTACAAGTGCGCGACGGGAATCATTTCGCATGTACCGCGCCTCCGAAATACATATGAACAGGCAATACATATTGTGGAGCATTTCCCCAATACGTATTGTGGAGCATTTCCCCATCCCCGCCTGCGCTGTGCTGGCTTGGGAAGGAGGGGTGTGTTTGACAGCTGGCTGTCAAAACGCACCCCTCCTTCCCAAGTCGGCGTGGGCTCTGTTCTGCTCAGAGCCCAGGCCCTGTGCCGGCTTGGAAAGGAGGGGTGTGTTTGACAGCTGGCTGTCACCCAAACCCCTCCTTCCCAAGCTGGCGTGGGGCCATGTCCGGGATTTTCTGAATTGTGTGTGAACGGCAAATACGTATCCAGGATGCACTTTAATGGAAGCGCGATAATTGCACGATGATGCTAGTTGCGTCTGATAGCCATTTACGTATTGTGGTGGCTCTTTGGGATCATTTCAGTATAGTACTGGATTTATTCTTATAACGGTTACTTTTCGCTTCGTGGCCAGGGTGTGATAAGGTCCTATGAAATCCTTGAATTCCAGTGTCACATCAAAGGAACACCATAGGATGGAACCATTACAAGTGGACCAAGTGGAATAATAGCACAACTCTTATCTAGCGTGAATAGACCCCAGCCCTCTCTGGTCCTAGATGTTGTCATGGACTCCCTTCTTCAGACACCCTTTGAAGTTAGGTGGCTGCTTACTGCTAAGATGCCCTTCATGACTAGGCCATGTTGAAGTTTGTCACACCATTTCCATTCTTATCACAATTACGTTAATAAAGGGAAGACAATACAAGATAGCTTGAAAGCACTCCTACTGCGCATCCCTCCATTAGTGCAACTGAGGTGATGCTGGACCCTCATGCTCACTTCTGCCTCATCCTTAACTCTGCCTCTATGCTTTTTGACCTGTGCCTTATATTTGTCTGATTTTTTTTTAAAAAGACACGATTGCAGTTATGTGAATGCAGTTTGAAAAGAAAACCTACTGGGAGGCATTGGGCTAGTCCCATGCTCTCAGCCTCAGGGGAAGGCAATGGCAAACCTCCTCTGCACAAAGCATGCCAAGAAAACTGCATGATAACCATAAGTCAGAAATGACTTGAAGGCATACAACAACAGCAACAACAACACACTCATAGCCCCCATTCACATGCCAGCAGAATGCATGATCAACTTATTCTTTATTTATTACTCTTTTGCCCTGCTCTTCTACTACAAAATAACACCCAAATTAGAGATTCAAAAGAGATTCAAAAAGAGATTACAAAAGAGAGACTACCAACAAAAGAGATTACAAGCAAATCAAAAAGAAATAAGACAATTAAAATCACTATATTATGGCAGAACATAAATTTTTAAAATCCAGTTTGAAGAGATGTTTCTGAAATCAAGCAGTTCTTGGAGGAAGTGCATTCCACAGTCTGGAGCATCACAGAAGAAAATGCTCTTCCTACCTACACATCATGTGGACTTCCACACATGAAGGCACTCTCCTGAAGATCTGAACATCTCACTATACAGACACAGGTAGTCCTCAAATAGCCAGGCGCTTTGGATTTTAAAAGTTGAGTCAACTAGAGAAGTTGGCACCCTTCAGCACTGGAGTAATGCAATTATAATGCTATAAACTAGAGAACATGTTTAATAAGTTGAAACTTCAGGATGTTTTTCAAGGGTATTTGTGATCATGAATGGCAGGGATATTGAAATTGTGTGTGTCAGGCATTTGTGCTTAGTATTGGGTGGTGGCAGGTATGAACACACACACACACACCAGTATATTGTCATGTTTCAGAAAGATTTTTGGAGAGTTTTTTATTTTATTAATTTTATTTTAAATATACAATTATATCTATGCCATAGAGGATTTAACATATCCCTCCTGTTATGTAAATTGTGTCTCTGCAGTTGTTATACTGGTAACCTTGTTGCAGCAAACATCTGAATAACAGGAGAGAGGATAAACTTTTTTTTTTTTTTTTGAGACAAATGGCAGCTACCATTTGATGGCCACCAGAAAGAGTTCTGGAAATATTGGTGAGAGTAGTGGTGAACTTCCCATATTCTGCCCCCACACCCCTAAAACAACATTTGGTTTAGCATTAGTATTTCTGTTTATCCCTGAACTGCCTGGGATTGCTTTGCTAGGAAGCAGCTGTGAGTGAAGACTGAAGAAGATTGATATTTCCAGGTGTCATACTTGGCTCTGTAGTGAACAATGCAGACAAAGTTTCAGCCCTATCCCGAAAGAAAGAAAGAACACCAGCTTAAATTTATGCTTGGACAAGTATAAACATACCTCTTATATCATCAGAAGAATCCCCACTGATTTTTCAAACTTAACATAGACCTAACATTGCAATCATTATCTTCCTTGTTGTAATTGCCAATTGTTAGCTCATTTCTAGTATTATTTTATGACATGAGTGTTAGTCATGAAGGACTGCAGATTTGTTGTTTTCATCAATATACTATTTCAGTATATTGTACTGTCTGGCTCCCATTTAGTTACTTATTTATTTAAGTATTACCAAATAGCTCAGTTAATTCTTCAAAGATGTGTCTATTAATACTAAATTATGGAATGCCTGTTTTGGTTTGAAAGTAGATATTTGTGGCTCAGTTAAATGGCAAAGTAGGTTTTTTATTGGTCTGTCAAACAACAACAAGAGACAGGGCTGTCTCTTTATTGTTCTTTTGTGACAGAGTTACACAGAAAAATATTTAAAATAGAGATAGAAATCCTAAGAATAATATGGAAGGAGCAAAGTTTATAGGTAGAGTATATATATTAGAGCAAGAATGTCCATGGTCTCTGGCACCTACAGTAG